TACACTAACTTGAATTGTTCCCTTTTTAATTTTGTTACAATAGTCATATGTGACACAATGAAAGAAATGCAGTATCACTTTAGCCTTTCACTTTTTAGACAGTTGATACACATTTAGTCGTTGCAGATGTTTCATGCAGATTCACATGATGCAAATGAGATGGCTGAATAAGTCTTTCACAGTTATTACCTGATAGCTGTTGCTTCTTTAACTAAAACCAGGATGTAAATCCATGCAATGAATAAGACATCAGTTCCTGGGGAATAGCACCAGCTTACTTGAAACTTGAGTGCTTCTCAAGCATTATGCAAAATATACATTTGTCGTATAATAAGGGCAGGGGACCTGCCTACCCTTTTAGAAAATTGAACAAAATTTGTTAACCTTCTAGGATCAGTTAAAGACAGTCCAATTGCAGTGAGTTGCTATTTGAGACTCTTTTCCTCCTTAACTAAATCTGTCTCTTTTGGGACATTGCGTTCTAAAATACTGATGCTTAAACCTTTAGTAAATATATCAGGTAGTGAAGGATATGATAGTGCAGGAAAAAAATAGATTGAGATTATTGTAAGATTTTTTTTTTTGAGGAAAGGAATGTAGTATACATAGCTTGGAAGGTGTTCAACTGTCAGCATATTAATTCATATTCATACTGCTACAGGGAGTATACTTCCACACTTGTGAAGCCAGATTGCTGTGGGAAAACGAATGCATTTTAACCACAGCTCCGTTTTGATTTGTTTAATTTCACATTTATAGTGCCTTGTCCTTCATATCTAACTGATGTTCCAGAATTTCCAAAATTCCTTTATTATGATACATAAACAGTTCAAATGGCAGTCTAATATAGCCTTTATTCTTTTCTCTTTTAAGACTTGTTTTTTTCACACCACTGTAAAGACCATGTAATGGCTTTCTGGATTCATTTAGCAGTCTCGTATTTGTGCTACATACACTTTAATAGACCTAAACGCTCTCCAGTCTTGTAAAATTTGTTGGAAATAGCAGTTCTGTTCTCATCCAGTTGTTCGGCTGTGCTTAAGAGGAGAGCATAGATGAGTGGGATAACCTAAAAAATGAAAAGGTAGTATTGTGCAGGAAGGAAAAACAGCCAACGTGACACTGCTGTGCACAATTTATTAAGTGGATGTCATGGTTTAACGCGGCAGGCAGCCAAACACCACATAGCTGCTCACTCACTCCCCCCATCCCCAGTGGGATGGGGATAGAATCGGAAGGGTAAGAGTGAGGAAAAACTCGTGGGTTGTGATAAAGACAGTTTAATAGAACAGAAAAGGAAGTGAAAATAATAATAATAATAATAATGATAGAACATACAAAACGGGCGTACCTGCGGAGCAATGCCCAAAAAACCAGCGATCGCTACTTCCTGGACGTGCCTACCATTCATATGCTGAGCATGACATCACATGGTATGGAATACCCCATTGGCTAGCAGGGCCAGCTGTCCCGGCTATGCTCCCTCCCAGCCTCTTGTGCATGGGAAGCTGAAAAGTCCTTGACTAGCAGGGTACTTAGCAACAACTGAAAACATCAGTGTGTTATCAACATTCT